AAACAGAATCTAAATAAATAAGCATGCCCCCAGTACGTTCTGACGTGGTTATGACGTCATGTATGCATGAGCAATGTATGTACACATACGTATGTTTGCGTGTTATGTGCGATGTACGCATACATTTTTGCATGTCATCTCTACTGAGTGTGAGTAAGTATTGATTTTTTTTCCAAACTTACCAGAACATTCGCAAGAATTTTAGTGATTAGGTAATTTGTAATTCAAATCCATCGATCAACCAACCAATCAATCAGTCAGTGTATATAGCTTATTAATTCCATTTTGAATCAATTCAACTCAATCAAACTAAAATGCAATTAGAGACTTTTTTGAAATGAAATTATTTTACAGAAAAATAAAAATTTCAACGATCCATCCATCAAAATGAATCGCCATTTTCTGTCGGCTTTCCAGCACAGGTCATCAATCGATCATTCCGAATCTCAATCCTTTTTAATGCATAATCAGTGATGTGTTAAATAGCATTACCGAGTCAACCGATCTCTTCTCGAATAATTTACACCGACATGTTTGGCACCGATTTGTTTGATATTAGCGAGGTCAATGTCTGCCGTGACTTGCTACGCTAATTTTTGTGGTGTCCATTTCACGATATGAGGAAACAATTTCAATACAGTGGTTTCTTATGCATATGATTGTACTGTACAATGCACATGTTTGACTTAACGTTGAAGTCAAAATATTACTAATTTCATCGAATACTAGAGTTTTACGTCTAAGTTTTCTAGGATCATTGTGTAAGATGTGATTTGGGATGTATCTTTGTTGCAACTATCAATCCATGTATCAATCACACTTATATGTTTATAATTTTTGTTACAGTTATTAGGTCTGGTTGCTGTTGGACCATTCATGTTAGAAATGATTTGGAAAAGTTTATTTTATTTACGTTAAGTGCTCGCCTACATGTATGTGTCTTCATAACATTATACAAGCTTCTGAATCACGAGAAAAATACAAATTTTTGTAAATTTAATCAATTTATTGAGATGTTTCAATGTGATGACAATATTTCAGCCATTTTTCATACATTAGGGATCATTCCATTCTGAATTAGAGAACAGAACATTGTGTGGAGTTACATTGAAATATCTTTGGTTTGAAGTTATAAAAATGACAGTGTGTTTTTTCTATGCAATATTATTATCATTTTATCGTTCTTAAGACTAATTTCAGGTTTGCAACAAATTTTACAATTTATATAAAAATTTAAACATTTTTTTAATTTTTTTAAATAATGTACAAATCTAACAAACGTTTGAGTGGCTTTAATTCTCCAGTTTTAACCGGACCTAAAAAGTCAAAAATTTCAGCTGAGACCTCTTCCTCTGCTTCTCTATCACCAGTTCAGGCAACTACATCTGAGGTTTATGATGGTTCTATTTTTCAAACAATATTTTTTTAGTAATTGTGTTATTTCATAGAGGTTTTGTAATTATATAATAAATAATTACATATTATCATTACCTTACCCACCGGTTAACATCATTCATGATAAAATAAAACAAACTCTTAATTAAATTATGTTTAATTATTTTATTGACACTTGGACTTGACACTTGAGTCTCTAATTTTAAGATATTTCCTGGTTTATATTTACAATAAAAACTAGACTAAAAAATGGTGATGACGACAATGTTATGTTATGGTTATAATAATGATGATAATGTTTTTGTTGTCGTGATAACGACCATGGTGGCGATGGTGATCTTGGTGATGATATGGAAAAAAAAATCAAAATCTCATTATTCTAGGAGATCAACAACAACAACAATGATGATGATGATGGGGGTGAAGAGTTGACTGAACTGAAAAAAGAATTAAATGATTTGAAAAAAGAATTAAACCAAAAAGAAGAAATGCTAAGAAAGTTAAAACTTGTGAAAATGTACAGAGACAAGGTTATATTATTTATGTTACCTACTTTTTGGTTTTAATTTAATTACAATATTTATATAATTAACAAAATTAAATTTTTATTTTTATTAATTTTACCAGAAAGACTTCAAAAACTTACCTGACCTAACAGAGAAATGGAAGAATTGTTGTCAGAAGGCCTTACAAGACCTGCACATGTTACTTCCAGATCCCCGACCATCCATGCTCCAGTTACTCCAAAATTTACAGATAGAACCGTTGTTATTGGGCTATAATGTTGAAGAAGATTCATTTGATACATAGTTCTATGTTTTGGATAATTTTAAAAAAAATTTTTGGATTTTAATGTTCTTTGTTTCTCTTTTGTTTTTTAAAATAGTCAGTTGTACATATTTCACTTGAATTACTTAACTATATTACTATTTGTTAATTTCATTCATTTGTGTGCAGTTTATATTTGCAATTATGCATGCTAGCGATCGCTATCATAAGAATTAAGATATCAGACAGAAAACATTGGTAGGATATACTTGTGTGTAAACTATGATAGCAGATCATTAGATAAACCTCA